CCATGGCGATTTCCAGGGATGTCCTACTGCGGCTCATTCGCTTAGGTGTTCCTTGCCAAAGGTCTTCTCAGACTTGAGCGCTCCGTTGCCGTTTCCTGAAACAAACCAGAGAAATGACATGAGAAGGAGAGAATGGGAAGGAGCCTTCAATTTTTGAAAAATAATAATTTAAAATAGTGTTCAGCTGATCAGTTGGTAAGATCAGGGGTAAGGAAACTGTGGTCCTTGTGGTAAGGTTAAAAAGCTTACTGGGAAATGATATATTGAAAAATTCAATAATGAATTGAAAAGGATGTTTAAAATAATGTTTGTAAAAAAACAAACAACCAGAAGCTTTTCTTTTGGGAATTAAAGGGACAAAACTACCTAAATTGTATAGAAACTTATTCATGTATGCTACTAGAGTGGCAAGAATGTTACTCGCCTCGAAATGGAAAGAAGCAGAAGTCCCAGCAAAGGAAGAGATCCCTGGCCTCTTAATTTTCCCACAATTCCCTGGAATGGGAATTGCCTCCCCTCTTGTACAGGAGTGGTCTTCTTCTCTCCTGCCCCACAATGGTAGGCGAAACCAGAGCCAATGACAGGCAGAGCCAACAAATGCTCGCTTGGCCTCCTTCTTCTCTCCCACTGAGTTACAATGACTCCTCCCCAAAGTGGTTTGTATTAAGTTTCAGTAACATAGGAGAAAAACTATTTAAAACAAAAATCAATAACAATTTTAAAAAACCCTACCAGAGTACATATCAGTTATTGTGGGCATTACAATAAATATCTATTATTATATTTATGGTATATGAAGAAGTGTGCATGCGGTACACGAAAGCTTAATACCCAGAACAAACTTAGTTGGTCTCTAAGGTGGCTACTGGACAATTTTTTTATTTAGTTTATCTACTATGAGTGAACTATGGGTTGTTTATGGGAATCATTTCCTCCCCATAACAATTCCTTGACTGCCAGTTAGGAAGAGGGTGCGCTTGGTACATATCCTCTCCACAGATGGCAGGGTATTTTTCTTCTGGCTATGCGTGGACTCTTATTTGGAAAATGAGTTCATTATTCATATTATAGAATAGCATTCTAGCAACCAATTTGTGGAATTTGCTGTCAGAAGATGTGGCAATAGCAATCGGTTTAATGACTATAAAGGCAATCAGATAAATTAATGGAGGGAAGGATGGTTACCAAAAACCGCTATATGGAGCCTCCATGTTCAGGGACAGTGTAGCAGCAGGTGGGGGAGCAACAACAGGGAAGGACTATGGACCTGGTGCTTCCAGATAGGCCTCTGCTTGGCCATTCTGGGAAACAGGATGCCAGTCTTAGATAAGGCTTTGATCCAGCAGGGCTTTTCCAATACTCTTAAAACTTAACATAAAGCTATGTGGTGTTTTTTAAAAAAGGAACCACTTCAAATAACAGCCTGGTAGCATCCCTGGAGTCGACCCGACAACCCTTACCCAAGAGATCGTCCTCTTGCATCTTCACCGAGTCTGTCAGATCCTGCTCCAACAAGGAGGCATTATCATCTCCTGTAGGCCTCAATGCCTAAAAGAGAAAGAGGAGTGCAACTCAGTAGAAAGCATAGTACCCAAAAGAGGGTCTTCTCCAACATCAATAATCTCTGACACTATGAGTGGCAGGTGAAGCCTTGGTCGGGGTGTCACCAAACACCACTGGGGGGTTTCTGGTTGGCGCTGGCCCATGACGGGGCCTTTATAGTGGTGGTTCCCTATTTGTGGACCTAGCGAGGTGCATTTGTCTCCCCTCGATATTGACTTTCAGGGGGGAAAATTAAAAACACTTATATTTACCCATGCCTTCGGTGGCTGAAATGGCACACAGTGAGATCTATGTTTTTAGAATGTTTTAAATTGCTTTTAGAATCCTTTTTCTCCCCGTTATAATTGATGTGTTTTCTACTCTGGGTGTCTTCAAGACGAAGCGTGGGATAGAGGATGAAATAATTATATTAGTAATTTCATGTGGTGTGTGCCACAAGACAAGGGAAGACCTGTTCCCTGCCATCACCCACCCCAATCCACACAAAGCCCTCGACTGCCCTCCACATGATCGCACCACCAGTGGAAGCAGGAGGACCCGGGATTGGGTTCTCTCTCCATCCTTCTTTAATATACAAACAGAGTAGAAGAGTAAAGGATGATTAGAAATGTAGTTCAGCAATATCCGGAGGACCACAGATTCTCCTCATCTCTGCTCAGACAAAACAGGAGTTTAGAGATCATCTCACTTTTTCTTCCGGCCTCCCTTGCATCTCCACACCAGCACTCTCCTCCTCAGTCAAAACCTCTTCTTTCACCTTCACAAAATACTTCGGGCTTCCTGGAGTTTCACAGCCAAGGCCTGGCAGGGTGTGCTCAACGCCTTCTCCACTATGTCCATGGCTGTGGTTCATGATCCCCTTCAAAGAAGCCTGGGATTCCCTTATATCAGACACCAACGAGGACTGGGGGCAGGGAAGCCCAGAGGGAGAGGATGCTGCTGTCTTCAGGAAATTCAGGAACTGGTCTTCCCATTCCAGCTGGGACCTAGAAGCGGGAGTCTGTTTGGCCTGCGGCAGACTTGCCCCACACAGAAACTGTCTCTCAGTCCCAAGTTGGACAGCAGGAGTCTCATTTTCTCCTCTTTCCATTCTCTCCCCGGGTTCATGGGCTGCTGCCAACTCCCATGCTTCCACATTCATTCCTGGCTGCAGCTCCTGGACTGGAAAAAAAAAGAGAGTGTAAGAGCCTGGCATCTGGATCAGGCCAATGGTCCATCGAGTTCCAACATTCTGTTCTCACAACAACCTTCTGAGTGCAATATTGCTGTCCTCACTTATGACTGCCAGCAACTGGCATTCAGAGGCATCCTGCCTCTAACCGTGGCAGACACTGGGGTCTCAAATTTCAGTGGAGCCCTGTGCAACACCCAAAATCGGTGGCCCCCTAGCCTTCCATTCTACATCATAGCTGCAGCGCCCCTAAATCCACCTTTCCAGTAGAGGTGGAACGTAGCCAGCCTAGCTGGCAGATATTGATAGCCTTGTCTTACATGACTTTGTCTAACCAACTTTTAAAGAAATCTAAGCTCCTTTTGTGCTCCTTTTGCCTCTGCTGAACCTTCCAACATTTGGCTTCCATTGGATGGTTCACTAATTTGGGCAATACTACCCTCCCCACCCATCATAGTATAACTTCACTGAGGAAAGTGAGCCCAGACTCTTGAGGACTAGTACAGTCGTACCTTGGAAGTCGAATGAAATACGTTCCGGAAGTCCATTCGACTTCCAAAGTGTTCGGAAACCAAAGCGCGGCTTCTGATTGGCTGCAGGAAGCCACATTGGACGTTTGGCTTCCAAAAGAATGTTTGAAAACCAAAACAATAATTTCTGGGTTTGAGCTGATTTGTTCAGGAGTCAAGACGTTCAACTTCCAAGGTACAACTGTACACACACACACACACACACACACACACACACACAGCTACACACTCTTAGCCCAATATATCCCTGTCTCTCACTCTCTATGGCTCATGTCTGACCACTCTGTTTTTTCCATTTTCCCAGTGTGGTTTTACAGTCAATTCTTCTTCCCCGGGAAACCCTCAGAATTGCAGCTGTGAAAGGAACAGGTGTCTCCTAACAACTCTCAGAATCCTTCAAAATCACATTTCTTGGGGACTCTGTGGGGGAAGCCATGACTGTTTCAAGTGGCAGGATACTGTACTGTATAGTGCATATGGGGCCAGACAGAAGGGATGGCACAGAGCCTTCTGCAGTCCTGCAACTCTGCCCACTGTTGGCTGTGCCCCACATTGGCTTTTCCTATGGTGAACAAACTTCCATAGGAAAAAGATTCCCCCACCCTAGCACAGATGCACACATTCTCATTTATCTTACTCAGGTTAGGAGGGAAAGCTTGAGGGCTGAGGGGGTAGTCCACTAATCAGATCTATCAGGCTTCTTTGGTCAGGTGCGACAGATGCCCACCTTGCATTTGGCCATTGAAGAGAGAATTAAAGTCTCCAAGAACAGCCCATGAAAAGCCATTCTGATGAACTAGTGACGAGAATCAATATAATGAGAATGGCTGGAGAATGCTAAGGCTGAGTGTTATCTTGACACTTGGTATGGAAAACCACAAGCTCAGCCTGGCCTTGTTGACATTCTTGAGTTCCTGGCTGAGATGCAAAAGTACAGAGTGGCTCATCTAGTCCAGCATCCTGTTCTCACAGCGGCCAACAGATGCCCATGGGAAGCCTGCAAGCAGTAGCTGCACTCTTCCCTCCTGCAGTTTCCAGCAGCTGGAATACAGAAGTAAGACAATGTAGTCTTATCCTCCAGGAACTGATCTCATCCTCTTTTAAAGTCATCCAAGTTCATGGCTATTACTGCCTCTTGCAAGCTCCTCAGTTTGTGTAAGGAAGTATTGGTTTGAGGTGTGTACTTATGGTGTGACATGGAAGGAGGCTGGAGATCCTAGGAATGGGAACCAGCTAGAGGGGGTCTTAAGCAATGGGAACATTAGGGTTAGCACACCTTCAAAGATACTTACCCAGGGAGGCTACCATCCCATAGTTCTCTGCCATGACTTCCCAGTAGAGCACCCTTTGGCCTGGATCTAGCAGAACCCATTCCTCCTCGGTGAAACACACGGCCACCTCTTTGAAAATCATAAGCCCCTGTTAAGAAGAAGGGCATGGAAGGAGATTCTCATTCCTCTGAAGCTGCCTTCTATCACATCACATCAATGCCATGATTGAAATTATACATGGTACGGAGAGGAAAAAAGTTTCCCTCCCTCTCTCATATCACAAAAAATCCTGGGCAGTACCCAGGGGGGTATGGGGTGCTAGGGAAAGGGTAGCACCTCTGGTGGGGGATACATTGTGCTCCCTGTACCTAGTTCTCAAACATGACTCCTAGAAGCTGTCAGCACATTCCCTGGGAATGGCTTCAACTGGTCAGCTAATCCAGGTGAGGGTAGCCAATGGGTCTCAAACCCTTGGTAAGGGACTTCCCCTGCATGCGAAGACAGGCTCTGACAGGTTGAATGGATGAGACCAATAGTGAGTCCAATGGTCAAGAGGGTGGTTTCCATACGTGCTGTAGAGAGAAATGAGAGGGAGATGGGGCTTGTCAACCTGGGAAGGGAGCCGATGCAGGAGAAGGAAATCTCTGGTCCTAAACCTCCACTGCCTTGTGGGTTATCTTCAGAAGAAAAGGCTAAAAAGAAAATCCTACACAAATCCAGAGTGGAGTCTCTAAGGAGGTTGCATGGCACCTTTTATGCCTCCTTCTGGGCAACTCCCACAGCCAAGCTGGTGCCAAACGTATTGTTCTGATTTCCCTTGGACCATACCAGCAAGGTTGAGAATGGAGTCTTGTCCTAAGGGAAGCCAAGGCCTTCACACACACGGCCCACGCTTGCACTCTGGAGATGTCACAACAAGGGAGATAGCAGCCAGGAGCTCCTTTGGTGCTGCTAACGCGGTAGTTTCGAATTCACCCCCGGAGGCGCACTCCATTGTCTGTCTCATGACAGCCAGATGCCAACAACAACCCCGCCCACCTAACTGCGTTGCCCCAGCCACTCTGGGCGGCTTCCAACAGGCTATAAAAACCCAGCATAGCACAGAGAACTTCGCGATGCAGGGCTGCCTTCAACTTAGGGCGATTTGGGGGGGGGGACAAAGGGGAAGCGGGATGAGGATCTCCCACTCCTCTGAACTCCTCGGAGGAGGAAAGAAGAATTAACAGCGCGAGAGAAGCAGCACCACCCCCAACCCCGCAACCCTCACCAACCTCGCAGGGCTGCAAGGAGCAAGAGCCAAACAATGCGCGCCCAGCCAGCAGCCCAACCCGGAGACCCTTGCTCCTCGTGCTAAGCCTCCCGAGCAGCCCATTCTCCTGACCTGCCTTTGGCTCTCCATCTCCAGCAGCCAGACGTCATCCTCTGCCCGGGGGGTGGGGGGTGGGATTCACAATCCCAGCTCCGCAGCAAACCGGAAGGAAGAGACCGGCTCTCGTCGACGCTTCCGGCCATAAACCGCCCACCAGCTAAAGCAGAGCCCACCATAGAGGCTGCTCTGGGTAGAGCGACGTCCCCATCAGGGTTGCCATGGTGAGCCGCTCTACCCTCGTTCTATCTTTATGGGTGGTTATTATAGATACTTCCGGCTTTCCGCTCCTCCCATGCAAAGTGCAAGGGGGGGGGCGGCGGCTTCACCACAGAGATGACATTGCCTAGAGCGGGTTGTTTTTACGTCACGTGGTATTGTGTTTTCAGGTCAGGAGGAGTCGGAGCTGGGCGGGGTGAGGGGAGAGCGAGATGCTTTCATACGACACTGGAGGACCTTATGGTGGCCGAGTGGGGAAAGCTCCTGGAGTTGAAGAAGTGGGCATTTTCGCAAGTGTGGCATGGAAGACACGCTGTCCCTATTGCAATTTTCTTTTCTGCACAGCTACTAAAGGTGGAGGAGCCTTTGGCAATCAGCTTTATTTTGCCTGTTTATTAATGCATATCATTGTTTTTCGCTTTTGTTTGTTTCAGCGTTATTGTTGGTTTTAATTTTCGTTGTGAGTTTGCCGGTTTGTTTTGAAAAGCGACTCATAAGCCCTAATGATATTTAAAAATCCTGTCTTCCAACAGTGGTCAACAAGGTGCCTATGGGAAGCCTACAAAGCAAGAAACTCAGTAACAATAGTACTGTTCTCTCTACCTGTGTGTTCTCGTATTCAGTGTTCTCGTAGGGAACTCGTATTTGTTATAGTTCAGAATTTATCTGGTTAAATTCCCTGGTGTGTGTCACCTGCTGACGTCAGCTTACAGCTGGGCGGAGACAGAAGCTTTAGAAGCTGGGCGGGACTATTCCCTGTTTGTTTCAGTCCCACTCTGTGTTCCGTGGGGAAAAGACGCAGGTCTGGCATGGCTGCAAATAGTCCTGGTAATTCCTGAGAAATGTTGGAATAAAAGCTGTAAATAGACGAACCTGTCTATGTGTGTTTGTCTGGAAGCTGAACCAAGCAACGTGACAGTTCTACACCGCTGTGCGGAAACTCTGCTGAGCCGTGACGGAGAGGCGCTGCGGAAGTGTGCCGGGCGGCCATATATCGCTAATCGAGGTTCGTAAATCAGTTAGCGGGAGTCACGGCTAACTACCGTATGTCACAGGTTATGGATCCATAAATCATCGCTTGTAAAACTGTCACGGAAGATACTGCCGGGAGCTTTGAAGTCTGCGGTGTCGAGCAGGGGGCCGGCAGGAGGCGGAAGGACTTTTTGCCTGATGTTTGCCTGCGTCTAAGAGGCAAAGAAGCTGCTGAGAGAGCTGCTGGAACACAGAGCTAAAAGCAAGAAGCAGCTGGGAGCTGAAAAGCAGCTGAGAAATCGTTTCTCCACGGAAGGGACAGCCAGAGAAGCTTGTGAGTACAGCTTGGGGCCCCTTGGGAGAACGGGAGAAGATGGCAGACTGCCAGGATATACCAGTGGAAAAGCTCACTCTAAAGAGTTGGGCAACGTGGTCCAGGAGAATAAGGGGATGGTTCTTGGTTGAAGGGCTCTGGGAAGCAAACCAGTGGGAGCCAAAAGAAACACCCCTTAGCCGGCCAGCAGCTGGAGCAGGTGAAGCAAGCTGTGGGGCTGTGTTGGCTGAAGATAGCCAGAGGCTGCAACAAGAGCTGAATATGCTCAAAGCATGCGTTGATGCGTCACTGGGGCCTCAGTTGGAGGGCGTAACGACAGCGTGGGCTGCCTGGAATTTGCTGAAAGGCTTGTGTGAGGCGTCAGCGAAAGGCCAGAGCCCTGGAGGAAGCCCTGGAGAGGCAGAAGGATGCCCAGAAAGCCCAATGGGGGCTGGGACAGTGTTGGGAAGCTGTTGTAATGCTTCTACACGTCTGTGTGATGGACTGAGTCCTGGAAAGGCTGGACTGGCAGGCCCTGTTCCCGATGTATTGGCCTCTAGGAGCGCTAGTGAGCAGATCGGGGGGGCGAAGAGTTCCAAAGGCAAGTTTAAAGGACTTTCCCTTTGTGCTGAAGCGAAGAGCAGCTTCAGGGGGGCGAGGCTGGTGGGAGGCGCCGTTCCAGAAGGAGGAGGGCCAAGCCAGCTGGGAGCCCCAGGCAGTGTTTTTCCACTAGAGTTCAACATCTGCGTGGCAGTTGCCCCCACCGGTGCAGAGAGCCGAGGCAGGATGTTGTGAAGGACATTTCTCATGGGAACCAGTCGGGTTTCCATGGCAACAGGCCTGGGAAGACAGGCAGGCGTGGAACTGAGCCAGGTGGCCATGGTAAACAACGGGAAGAGTCTTATCAAGTCTCGGCGAGTATGGCAGTGTTTGAAGACGGCCGAGTGGAAAATTCCGAGATGGCCTTTGTAATAGACTCTGCAGCTAACCGAAACATGGTTCCAGAGACCCCTGCAGTCGAGAGGTGGAATTGCACGGCAGTTCCGAAGGGACAGACTATTAAGTTTGCAAATGGACAGAAAACTAGAGTTTCCACGTGTACTAATGCCTATCTTTCTGTTTTACAGGAGACGGTGAATTTATGTATTGTTCCAGAGATTCAACATTGTTTGTTATCTGTGCCTTATTTGTTGAGTAAGGGGTTCAAAGTTTGTTTTGAAAACGATGTCTGCACGATCTCCAAAGGGGGGAGGTTACTGGCCAAAGTGCGGAAGGGACAGAATGATCTTTTCATTCTTAAAACGTCTCTTGGAGGTGAGGGGAAGGTTGAGAAAGCACAAGCGTTGCGTGCTACAGTTCCCGCTCATAATGTTACATGTGCATGCGTATGGCATCAGAGAACGATTCACAATCCTTTAGAGGATTTGCAGGTGTTACCTGAGGTTGTTACAGGTTGTAAGATTAAAAATTGTCAAAGTGCCATTAATTGTGACACTTGCAAGCTAGCAAAGGTAAAAGGATGCAGTTACCCAAAGGTGGAACGTGTAGCCACAAAACCTTTTGAGCTGGTTCACATAGATTTGTCCGGTCCTGTCAAGGCACCAAGTCTAGGGGGGGCCAGGTTTCTGCTCGTTTTTCTGGATGATTTCTCGCAGAATTCCTGGACTCACGGTCTTAAATCCAGGGAGGATGCAGCACGGCTGATCAAGAGCTGGATTGAAGGGGTGGAACAGAGGTTCTCCACCAGGGTTCAAGCTATCATCAGTGACAGAAATGCTAAGTACACTGGTTCTGCTTTGCAGGAGTTCTTTCACAAGAAAGGGATACGACACACAGTTATTTCACCCCAGCAAGGTGGGGTGGCAGAGCTGCGAAGTGGAGCTCTAGTTCAGGCTGCACAGGTGTTGCTGAAAGATTCTGAGTTACCTCCAAGGTTTTGGCTGGAGGCAATCAAGTATGTGAGCTTCACCTGGAATCGTGTCTATAACTCATTGGTAGGTGACACACCGTTTTCTTTGTTAAATGGCCGAAAACCCCAGGTTCACTTTCTGCGGACGTTTGGGACCCCTGCGCTTGTCTCTGTGCCTGAGGCTTTGCGAGGGCCAGATGGAGCCAAAGTCCAGAAAATGATCTTCTGTGGGTATGAGCCAGAAGCCCGTGCATGGAGGTTCGCATTTCCATCAGGTGATCAGAGTAAGTTACTGATCAGTAAACACGCTGAGTTCTTTGAGCAGAGTGAGAAGCCAAAGATTGTTTTCCAGCGTGATCTTCTCTCAGATTGTCTCTCTGACCCAGAGGACAGTTGTGATGAGGAGGAAGGAGAGGCTGAGCCTGCTGATGAGGACCAGGTCCAGGATCAGGGTTCAGAATCCGATGATGATGATCAGTTCACTGACCAAAGTCAGGAGCAAAGTCAGGAACAGGAGGAGGTATCTGTAGTTTCTCCACAAGATGTTAAGAGAGCACCCAAAAGCGAGCCTAGTTCTCCTGTGAGTGTGATGGAAAGGATTCGAAAACGCTTTAAGTCAGAAGGGGAATCCCGTGATGCAGAGGTCACACCTGCTGGTGACGGTGAGCCAGAGGAAACATCTGTGTTTGTGCCTAGGAGATCCAGTCGCACAACAAAGGGTATTCCGCCTGAAAGGTACCAAGCCATAGGTGCGTGGGTAAATTTCGCACAGTGCGTTTCTGAGGATTGTGAGGTGGTTCCACAAATGCCAAACAGGTCTGCCAAGGGAGGGCGCGAGGCATTGGGGAAGGAATTGATCTCACAAGGTATTACTGAAGATGTTGCACAGGTATCACGCAGGGACACAAGGGGGGGTGTTATAGTTCAGAATTTATCTGGTTAAATTCCCTGGTGTGTGTCACCTGCTGACGTCAGCTTACAGCTGGGCGGAGACAGAAGCTTTAGAAGCTGGGCGGGACTATTCCCTGTTTGTTTCAGTCCCACTCTGTGTTCCGTGGGGAAAAGACGCAGGTCTGGCATGGCTGCAAATAGTCCTGGTAATTCCTGAGAAATGTTGGAATAAAAGCTGTAAATAGACGAACCTGTCTATGTGTGTTTGTCTGGAAGCTGAACCAAGCAACGTGACAGTTCTACACCGCTGTGCGGAAACTCTGCTGAGCCGTGACGGAGAGGCGCTGCGGAAGTGTGCCGGGCGGCCATATATCGCTAATCGAGGTTCGTAAATCAGTTAGCGGGAGTCACGGCTAACTACCGTATGTCACAGTATTCAGAGGCATACCGAGCCCCACAAACTCCCAAAATCTGCCCCAAAGGGTATGTGGGGTAAACATAGGACAGGTTTAGGGGAGTACATGGAGGGAGAAGGGCACGTTCTATTGCACTAGTATAAATCCTTCCACCA